GCTGTGGTATACTAAATGCTACTGCTGAATCTTGTTGTGTGGGTCTGTAAAACCTACGTAACACATCATGTGAGGTAAAAATGTTAGTGGAACATATGAGTAATATGAGGAACAAGGGGAGGTGCATCAATCGTTTACCTGGTGTCTAAAGATGTGAGGATAAGCACGCTTTACTACTGTTAGAATAACAGAAAGACATGAAATGTAATTATTTTAGTAGGTGTTTCTTAGTATGTAAAGTTGTATGTCCTCTGAAAAGAAGATTATGTTTGTTTGTTTTATTCTTTAACAGGATTACTAACAAACCAATTTGCACCAAACTTAATGAAGGACAAATACAATTTTGGATTGGATTACAAAGAGGATCCATGATGTTTTCTTCCACCTATTTTTTCAGGGAATAATGGACAAATCTTGATTTTGAAAAAAATATTTGTCCTTGACACCTTTATTATAATAAAACATGATGCCTTCGGCCACTGATTGTCACCAACACATTTGGTATAAAAAGGAATATCTGCTCTAAAAACTTCTCTGGAAACAACAGGTGGTTAAGCCACATTCTCAGCTAAACCACAAGGGACTATCATCTTAAGCAAACAGAAATGATTTCATTACTTCCTTCATCTTTTGCAATGATGTCCCTTTTGTTTGCTCTTTGCTTGGGTTTATGTCACCACCACAAGTTATCCAACGTATGTGAAATGTGTGTGTGATATCTGAAGTGTTCAGAGCTCATTGAGAGGTTTGCTTTCTGTTCAGAATAAAAAAGAAGGCATGGGGTGCCTTGATCATATGATAAAGAGAGGAGGAAAGAAAGAGCAGCATTTAAAATGAATACCCTGCATGATGCTGCCCCCTATAGGAGATGTGACAGCACCAGATTTGCAACAATGACAGGTGTAAGACAAGTAGTATGTAGTAGTAAAAGATGGAAAAAAAAAACCACAAATAAACGCATGTCAAAATTTTATTTCATGTCTAAAAGTGTAAACGTACATACGATCATGCTACTGCATAGTACGATAAAGTTAAATACTTAAAAGTCCATCTGACAAAAGCATCTCCACATTACGACCCTATCATTTGACACACTCAAACCCCTCAGCTGTGGCAGAACCAATACTTATGCTACAATGCATTGCATATTAATTAATATAATTACTCTATTGTAATATCCAACATACATGTATATATATTTGACCAATTCATTTGGTGACGTGAAAAGAGCTAAATCACAATACTGTCCATTAGTTTCCAAAACACATTTGAATGAAAATTAAAAGGAGCAGCTTGAGATGGTGAGAAGCTACAGTGAACTAAAGCCAGTAAAAGGTTTAAGATGTGTAGAGCTGCTCTCAGTCATCATCAACCACAAAAAATAAAAACAGCCAGACATCTGAAGTTAGTGATTATCAACCGTTCTCACTCGATTAGAGTGAGAGTTGGCTGAATTACAAAGAGGAGGCAGCTTTCCTCCAGGAAATGAAGTGAATGGTTTTCACGATGATACATGAGGCTAAAAAAACTGAACTGAAATTTTCACAGTACTCGCAGTGTCTGCTGCTGAGGGGAGAGCAAAAAGTAATTTGGTGCATGGGATTGAATCGGTTCAGCCGAGGACTCAGCTGCTTGTTGATCATCATCATCATCACCGGTTCGGGCACATTTGCCCTTAAACTTTTAATTTAGTCAGATTGCAGAGTGAAACACTTCTCTACACAGCTCACATACCAAACAGTGTGTATATGACAACAGTTAAAAAACGTGGAAGAACATAAGATAGAGAATAAACACAATAATATATTCCAATGTACTTTTGTATAACCTTTTTTGGTTTATATGTGATACTATGCAGTCACTCGCTGTATAAACAAAGCACTTTGGTGTATATCACTTTAAAATGGACATTACTGTTTTACATTGTTATGCTGCCACAGACTGAACCAACAGTGACAATTTCAAAACCTTTCTTTGGCCACACAGGTGTTGGTTAAAAGTGTAAATATACCTCTTTTTCACTGAAAATGTTATTTTTCTTTATTTTTCTAATAGAATGTCTTTTTCTTATTAAATTGCCAAATTATTCCTAAAATCTGAGAATTTGATGTCTTTATACGGCCCTAATAGTAATACAAGAAGAAGATGCATAAGTTGGTAAATCAAGGGTGTCTTAAAATCCAAAGAAGGGATGGGCCAAATACATTTGGCATGACACAGACATTAAAAAAATACATGTATGCATGTAAAGAACATTAACTTAAACTTTTCATTGGCAACATACAATGTGGTAAAGACCTGACAACACCTGATGAAAACATGGAGGAAGCAAGTTTAAGCAGAATGAGAAATTGCAGCTGTAGAACAGGGACATGCAAAACATCGAACAGTTCGCAATGAAGTAAAGAGACAGAACTTGATCGTGGGAAGACTAGAATTGGCAACTGGAGTTTGTCAAAATGAGCATAAGAGACATTTGCAAATGTAACAAATCATACAAAGACACACAAAAGTTATCTTTACGAAAAACAGCAGTAAAAAAGCTTAGAGGCAACGGTCTTCCCTGCTGTGGTGAGCCCGATACAAAAACCCTGAGAAATACTGAAAGGCTCAAAAGTAACAGGTTAGAGTGAGAAACTGCAACTTGACATTTCATTAGATTCATCTGAAGCTACTCATTTACAAGTGCACTCACTCATAAGGAGGGGGTTGAGGATGTACAGGGGTATCACAAAGGATGATGGGAAACAGAACGGTGAGGTCAGAGGCACAGCGCACTCTCAGGCTCACCTGTATGAAAAAAAAAAAGAGAACAGTCAACACTGCACATTGGTTTCCAGATCATTTCATCCAACCTTCAGACTTTCATTGGCACCAACCTCAATAACATAATCAATGACCAGGACGTTGCAGTTAGCGATGGTAAATGATGCAGACTGAGGAATCACGATCATCATCTCAGTGTGCACGTCGCAGGTTTGTGCGTCGATGGGCTGCCCGACCACTGATGCCAAGTTCTTCTCATACTTCCTCTTGTGGGCCCTTTCGTTGGTGTATAAGGTCTGCTTCTGCAGCAGCCTCGCCCTCGGAGTGGCCGTTCGAGATGAACTGTTACTGAACTCACAAATTATTTTCACAGTTTCACCTGAGGAAAAAACAGACATGGCGTTAGATGGATGGATGGAAGGATGGATAGATAGGTGGATGGACAGATGGAGTACCAGGAGTAAAGGCTTTTTTCTCCACACTGACTGTCATAGTGATAGGAGGTGAAGCACACCACAGGCAGCACACAGTCATTTGGTTGGAGCCTTTGAGAGGAGCCTGTGAAAAAGACCAGCACAACAACGGAGGTGCAGCAGACATCAACATATTTCACATGAAGTGACAGACAAATGATACAACACATACGCCGCTGCACATGAACCACACTGTGACTTGAGAATCCGACAAGGAGGTTCTGTTTTCACCCAAGTCCATTTGATTGTTACGGATTTCCAAGAAACTTGGTGTAGGGATGGGCGTTCAAGTTGGTTGCAAATCTTGATAACAGGGTGAACGTAGGATTTATTTTCTCAATACAGTATTGTGAGACACGGTTTTGTTTACTTTTTCACCCATGGATCCTGATTAAAAAAAATCCTGTGTATGCAATTTAGTGCGACTTGATTGATGTTTTCACACCTGAAAGTCTGAACCATGGTCTAAACCAAGCCTCATGTCTCTGAATCATTGTTTACATTTGATCCAGTTAGTTTTGGTTTCACATTGTAATTTAGGGAGCAGACTTTTGTGGGACACATGTACTTCCTGTCATCGTCACCTACGTAGGAACAGCCACTGTACTTTTATTATGGTGTTATACTACTGCCAGCAAAATAAATGTAATTGTCATTCAAACATTATCTTACAGGAGGTGAAGACTACAAACAATCCTTGTTTTTTTAATGCTGTCATAAATTCCTGCAGTTGGTCTGCTATCCAAAAAAATCTGGATTAATAAAAATGTTTTTACTCTAATTTTTGTATCTCTGATGCGACCGTGGTCAGAGGTATTTAACATCTGATATTTTAGTTTGCAACTGAAAAACCTGAAGGTCCCTGCCAAACAAAGTGGGTGTGATATCCACCTAAGGAGGCAGAGGTACTGTATGTACTCTTCTTGTCTTTTTCGCATTGCATAGCGGGACAAATAGTTCACATAGTTAACAGTTAAAACCCTAGAATTTCTCACCACACACTCTGGGACTGGTCTGTATGGACAGTAACTGTGTGTAATGATTTGATTTAATGATCAAACTTGAGCCTTTTCAGATATATTTCATTTCATGCCCATGGTAACTCCCTAGATAGTAAGAACATGGGGGTTAATAATGGCCCAGCAGTTCTCTGGTCTCTCTCACTTACGTGCAGCTCGGGCTGGTTGGTATTGATGTGGTTTATGAAGTTTAACTCAGTCACAAAGTCCTTAGACACGCGCCAGGGTCTGTTGATGCTCATGGTTAATACATATTCTATTCTTCCGTGAAGGTCCTTGAAGCTGGATGGGAAGTCTCTGCATTGAAGTAAAAATAATTTAAAAACAAAGATTAGATGTTGCTGTAGTCTATAACCCTCCTCCCCCTCAAAAAATGCTGTTAAAATGGAGATTCATGTAACTGAGGAAACTACAGTATCTAAAAATGAGGAGGTCAAGTGGGAGAAAACAGGACAGATGCCCCATGGGTTCTGCATCTTAGGCCTGGACGATAAAACAATATCAATTATTATGGAAATATGTTCATCGATAGCAATATAAAAAAGTCTGGAAGGAGGTTTTTAAATTTGTGAAACTTCTGGGCTAATAACTTACAAACATGCTCCAAATTCCTAATTTTAACACAGAAAACAGCCTGATCATGTGATATTTCCTTTGTAAAATGACACATAGCCTAAAACTATTATTCTAGACTTTGTTATTGCAGTATTATGACTTTATTCTTATAAAGAGTTTTTTCTTATAACATTATGACTTAATTCTCATAACGATACAACTTCTTCTCATAAAATGATCTTTTGTCTGGTAACATTAAGAATTTCTTCTTGTCACATTATGACATTTCTTGTAAAATGATTTGTTCTTGTAATATTGCGACTAAATTATGGGGAAATTATGACTTTATTCTCGTAACATTACAACTTTTTCCTGAAATGTCAGATTTTGCTTTCATTGATGTTGCATTTATCGTGGCATTATCGATATCGACTGATACGAAAACATTGATCTCGATGTCATTGTCAGCCATATCATCAGGCCCTGTTGCATCTGAATAAAGACTGTTTTCCTCTCGTCCCTTCAGTAACCAGGATGTGGGCAGCTCAATCACATACACACCCCTGAGGTATCTGACATGTAAACGGATACATGTGCGTGCCAGGCTGGAGCTTCATCGACCCTCCAATAGCTGGGAGGGAGGAAAAGAAAAGTTTACTGAACAAAAACTTTTCATGGAACTGCGCAGCACCCGAACCAGCCGCTCAGTGAGTGCACACAACACACAGAGGATATGGATCAGACCAGAGTTTCCATGCAGGATGACGCCCTTGAGGTCGAAGTAGGTGATTTTGCCAGAGAAGTGTCTCCGCGATCTATTCTTCCCTCCACCAGTGGACCAGTGGACGTGGGCATGTCCCTTCAGACGCATCGATATGTCGGTGATCTTCGTCTTCTTGGTCAGGTCGAAGGAGAAGTGTCCTGTGACCAGCTGCCCACTGCTGAAAGTCCTGCTCTCGTTCACTGCGTTGAAATTGATGCAGAAATTCTTGATGGTCTGCTCCAACATGGTCACAACCCGAGTAAAGCTTTTGAAAGTTTAAACACGCACTTCCCTGCAGTGAGAAGATCCGGGATGAAGGTTTATTTGTAACTCAGTGACCAGAGACTGTTTGCAACAGCAGATCCATCAGACTGAGCATGCGCAGTATGTGGGAGGACCCGCCCTGATTCCAGGAGGAGCCTCAAAACTCTCATTCCATAGTCAAGGTGTGTGTCTGTCAGAGAGGAAGAGGAGGAGGAAGAGTTCAGTCAATGTCACAAAGTGAATCAGAAGAGACAATAATCTATCAGTCCATCCTACTATCTATCTATTTAT